ACAATTTGCTTTTCTTTTTGTCTTGTTTTTATTCTTTCCTTTTCCGTTCAAATCATGAGCTGATTATTCCTCTTTCATTGTCCACATAAGTGATTTTAAGTCCTAATAAATTACCGAGACCAGCTGAAACTATCCTAGCTCGAAAAGAGAAGATTTAATAGAACAAGCGCAGCGAGTTCTGAGAAAAAAACCATAGCCGTAGACAGAAAATATCAACCAGAAAATCTTTATTTCTTTACTTTACCTTTATTATATAAAAGTAAGTGATTCATTTATCTTTATTCTATAAAGTAACGATAAATGATTCATTTATCTTTATTTTATAAAAGTAAATGATCCATTTATATTTATTTTATAAAAATAAATGACCCGTTTATCTTTATTTTATAAAAATAAATTTTTTTTTCATTTATTTATATTTACTTTTTAAATATAAATGACGAATTTATCTTTATTTTTTAAGTATAAATGATTCATTTACATTTATTTTCTAAAGTAAGACTAAATTAACACCCCTAAGTATTACCGAATAAATAGAACTAAAGAGTTCTGATGATATAATCATATAGTAGAGATGTAGAGCAAAAGGAAATCAAAAACAAAATCTTTTTTACTTAATTATATGTATATCTCAATAACATATACTTTAGCATGTAATAACGTTTTTCAATTATTTTTAGTACTGGTCTACATTCATGAAGCTTGTATATTTTAGAAAATGAAAATTTATTAAAATTTTTGTAAAAACAAATTTGGCTAAAACTAACAAATGCAAGAGCATCGCCATCAATAGGTGATGTGTATGTATGTAGAAAATCTCATGTTTGAGGATATAGTTTTTTCGATCTAACTTGTCAAACTGAGCAATTTTGTATTTAGAGAAAAAAACTCATCTAAGAATCGGATGCATGATGAACTATACTACTATTCATACAAATCTTTTTGAATTGTGTTTTTTGACTTTTTCAAAAAAAAACGATGTGTAATGTTGCAAAATAAAACGGTGAATAACTTGTAACTCATTTCTATTGCGTTGCGAACACGCATTTTTTCGAATATTATTACTCCAAAGTGATGTTTTCGGCATCGATGGTTAGGCTCGATCCATCTAAAAGCTACCACTATTCACACCAGCCTTTGACGTTAGTGACCAGACCTGTCTCATATCATAGAGCTCAGCAAGTTGAACCAAATGATGAAAACCGCAAGTCTCTAGCCTTGTTAGAAAAAAAGTTATAGCCATTTCACTGTCGTAGCGGAAAATGCATTTAGCGGATTTGCCATAACTTGTAGAACGTCTGCTGACCAGATTCACTGATGTACACATAACTCTTGGATTTAAATGTGAAGTTTTTCTTCTTTATTTTTTAAGGACGGCTATCGGTCTCTGCTAGAAAATGACCCAATATAATTTTCAGTGAAAATAACCAGAAATCTTTCCCTTTTCACTTCTTCTCACTTTAAAAGTTGCTTCTGCTTTCCTTGAAAAATTTTTTCATATCATTTTTGGCGCCCATTTTAATAAATATTACATTATCTTTTCCAAAACGTTTTCACCTAATGTCAAAGTCCTTGACCAAAGCTCATATATAGAAAGATAGAGAATTTTACGAGCTTCAAAAGCTGTAAATGAGTCTTTCTAAGCTATGCCCACATTGATCAATAGTTGAAGTACTTGGCCAATACAATGATTTTCACCTATCTCAGTGTCTTTTTTCTACCATAACAAAAAATTATGTATTATTTGAAAACATACCACTGGATAGTCCTTGAAGTTCTGTACAAAGTGTGCTGATCACAATATCCAGACAGGTAAGGCTAACTGGCGCCCGTTATTAAAAATATGGAAAAGAAGCTTTTGGGTGTTATCTAAGCAGTACAGTGTGTCATAATCACAAGAACTCCCTTGTTTTTATTTTGTTAGAAAAAGCTGGAACCAAACTGAATACTATTTTCAATAGCCCGAATATTTTTCTGTCAGATGAGGTGCATATCGCCCTTTCATGGGAAAAGTTGATAATAGAGATTCTGGAAAATCTCACCGCTGAAAACCAAGTCCTTAGTTCTTGATCGGAAAATTTTGCAAACCATATAGCCTGATAGAGCAAATAATTCTGAGCAAAATAAGGCACATCCCGGCATTTGGTAGCGCTTTTTCACGCAATTGCAGTCGATTTACCACTAGCTACGAAGTGCGTGAAAGTTGCTAAAGTATTCCTGTAAAAAAGCACTCTGTTATCAACTTTTCCAATGAAAGGGCGATATGCACCTCATCTGACAGAAAAATATTCGAGCTATTGAAAATAGCATTCAGTCTGGTTCCAGCTTTTACTAAAAAAACAAAAACAAGGGAGTTCTTGTGATTATGACACACTCTACTGCTTAGATAACACCCAAAAGCAGACTCATTGAAAGACTCTTTCTTTAAAGCAGACTCAGACTTGAAAGACTCATTTACAGCTTTTGAAGCTCGTAAAATTCTCTATCTTTCTATATATGAGCTTTGGTCAAGGACTTTGACATTAGGTGAAAACGTTTTGGAAAAGATAATGTAATATTTATTAAAATGAGCGCCAAAAATGATATGAAAAAATTTTTCAAGGAAAGCAGAAGCAACTTTTAAAGTGAGAAGAAGTGAAAAGGGAAAGATTTATGGTTATTTTCACTGAAAATCATATTGGACCATTTTCCAGCAGTAACCGAAAGCCGTGCTTTGACCTTTATTAAGTTATTAAAATCAATTACAAGCTCAGCGCAGGGTCAAAATTTTAGAACTATCGATAAAGATTTGAGTTTTTTTAAAAACAAAGATCAAATTAAAAAATTGTGCTTTATCAAGACCTCCAGTTTTGTCTCTTTCAAACAAAAAAAAAATTGTGTCTTATCCCTTACTGTTCCTTACTGTCCAACCTTACTGTCATCCTTAATGTTTTAAACTCGAAAAACGTTATTTATCCCTTATCATTGTCGAGATTTTCTTGAAATACAAAAGCAGTATTCTGTCAATAACTCTGATTCTAATGAATATTTTGACCTGAAATTTTTACCGTAGCTTAGTCTCGTTATGGTTCATATGTCCTGAAAATTTCGTGAAAATCAAATACAAACTAGTGGAGATTGATTTATAAGGGAAGGAAAGCCCTTAATTAAGTTTTTAATCGTAGAATTTGTCAACAGTAAAACAAGCAGATTAATGATGACGGATTCTCACTTGATGATTATTTACCCTCATCGCCACGCTCACTATCAACTTCACATACACAGTAACATTAACATTTACTCTTGTCCACAACGATTGTATGAATATATCAGACTTTCAATTATGTTTTTCTAATAGTAAAAGGATAGTTTTATGAAATAAAATTGAAATGCGCATATGAAAAAAAATATTGACTAAGTTCAATGAAACAGAGAAGTAATTCAAAAATATTTTCCACAAGGGACTTTTGGGACACACTGTAATTGACCGTTATTAAAAAAACAGAAAAAGCACCAAAATCTTTAAGAGTGGTTTTTTTCTTCTTTTTCGAGTATAAGCTTCTCAATATCTTGACAAAGCAAATAGGGTCACGTAAAGAGTGTCCGTTTCGAATTTTTATCCTAACGGGAAGAAAACGTGCGCAGCAATTTATTTCAAATTCGTCATCTTATCCTCAAGGTGGACGATAATTATTTCGTTAGTGTGTCAGAATATCGAGTAACTATGTATTATCTTTACAACTGTCTTGCTCTTTGACTTTAAAAAGAGAGATGACGCTTTTATTTTATACTCTCTGATCATACTATCATAAATGAGCACAGAACATTCATACAGAACATTTTTTCTGTTTATTGAACAAAGTAAGAAAAGCAAAGCTCAACCTTGGCTACTTTGAGTACTATGTTCAGAAAGTTGATCAAGAAAGTTGTATTGGTCATTCCAAATTCGTGAAGTTTTTAAAACTAAAGTGAAATTGATACATTTTACTACCTTTAATCTGTGATATTGACAATTCTATAAAAGGGACCTTTTATCTCAGAGAAGTAATTCAAAAATATTTTCCACAAGGGACTTTTGGGACACACTGTACACTTCGATTATATTGGTTATTAAAAAGTATATTTTTATTATGGTTAATCATGCCTGGACAACCTAGTCATTCACATACATTTTATCATAATTTTATAAAACCATTTATTTTGAAATTAAATTTTAAATGTGAACAAATTTATTTAATTTTTATTGATATTCTTTTCATCTGTTTAAGTTTTGGTTGGTAAGTTATAATGATCTTTTTTGTAATCTTATCGGTTTTTCATGTATTATTTATGCATCTACAATTAAAATTCTAGATAGTACAGATAATACAGAATGGTTAGTATATTGGATTATCTATTCATCATTTAGTTTTCTTGGATATTATGGTCATCATTTATTTTCTACATCTTCATTCTATTGGTTATTAAAAATGTATTTTTTATTATGGTTAGCGATACCTGAATCTTTTTATATACTTTATCATTATATTATAAAATCATTTGTTTTAAAATTAACTTATGGTAAAAATGAATTATCATCATATTTTAATTTAATTGAACAAAAAACAAAAATTAAACGTTAACAAATTTTATTAGGTTTTATTAGTAATTTTTTCATCTATTTAATTTTTGGTTAGTATAATGATTTTTTTTGTAATCTTATTAGTATTAGATATCTTGCTTATGTATCTATATCAGCTATTGAAACTTTACATCGTCAAGATAAATACAAAATGGTTAGGATATTGGATAATTCATTCATTCTTTGGGTGTTTGTGAATATTTTTTTCATTATATTTTTTATACATTTCCATTGTATTGGGTATTAAAAATGTATTGCTTTATTGTGGTTAATCATGCCTGTACTAACCATTGTCTATCATCTTTATCATGAAAATTTTCAATAGCTAATACAGTTATACAAATGAGATATGAAAAATTAATAAATTTACCAACACATTTAATATACCAACCAAAAATTAAATAGAAGAGAAGAATAATCATACCAAGAAAAGTTAATACAATTCGTTTACGTTTAAATTTTAAATTGGATGAAATATTTTTTTGACCATATTTTGGTTTTAAGATAAATGATTTTATAAAATTATAATAAAGTATATGGGAATAATCAAATTGTCTAGGTATGATTAACCATAATAAAAATATACTTTTTAATAACCAATATAATCGAAGTGTATGAAAAAATTGTCGACTATAATATCAAAAAATGTAAACATTGAATGAACTATCCAATATACCAACCATTGATTATCATCTTTACCGCGGAAATTTCCAATAGCTAATACATACACATGCATAAACAATATATGTCAAATCAATCAAACTACCAATAAAATTAGGATACCAACCAAAAGTCAAATAGATAAGAAAAATACTAATAACAGTTAATGCAATTTGCTCACGTTTAGATTTTGTTTTTTCTTCAATTAAAGTAAAATATGATGAAAATTTACTTTCATATAATAATGGTTCTAGTTTTTCTTCAATTTGACGTATATTATGTTGTACAATAATTGACATATGTATGTGAAATCAAAACAAATTTAAAATATAAAATTTAAGTTCATCTATTTGTAATAAAAAACAACTTTCGAGTAAGTTTTTCAGACTTTCTTAGTATTTTGAGGTTTTCTCAGTGAAGAAAGGACTTTTGAGGGCTGGCAAGGTTATACTCGTGATCAGCTCGATGCGCTGAACAAGAATATGTATAATAAAGTCAAAAAAAAATTGGTGTACAAGTTTGCTTTAAGCGCATCTTAGTATAACGATAGTTATATGAAATAAAAAACTTAAATGGCTAAGTAAATTGCACACCATCGATTTTGAACTGTATTATCTACGTCATTTTTGTTGAGAATTTTCAAGCGATGCTTGTTCTGTTAGGAACGCTATCAAAAAAAAACTTATACTTTAAGTACTTTTTAAGTTTACGATACTTTTCAAGTACTTCTACTTGCACTTGTACTTAGAATATTTTTTTCGAGTATTTTTTATGCACTTTCAAGTAATTGTACAGGAGTATTCAAAGTTGTTTAGTCTTGAATTATGAACATTTTTTCACCAAAATAAAGTTAACGATAAGTCCTATCATCTCTAAAAAAATGGTGAAGTTCCTACTTAATTTGATAAAGTTAGATGGAAAATACTGGAAAGACCTCTGCTTGAGTATTTCGCGTCTGTTAACAAAGAGATTTGCTCGAAAAATATCCAAAGATACATTTCAATAGAGAATTTCACGGGCTATCTATTGATGATAAAATTTTAAACTTTGAAGCATGTCTTCATCATCAAAAAGCTATTTTAGTGAGAGAGACTCGAAAAAATTGAAAAACGTCGATTTCCACCTTCAGACTAAATTCTATGTAAATCTATCATACAACAAAAGAAAGAGCGTGAAAAACCAAATAAGATGATGTATTTGGAATTCGGATAGAACCGATTTTTCACAGAAGTTTTCTACAAGCAAAGATTTACAAAATCTGAACATTATCAATTTTTTCAAAATTTTGTCACCAAGATCAAACTTTTCTATTTCTTAAACTAGTCAGCTAGATAGAGCACAAAATTTTGAACAAGAATATATCTCACTTCATCGAGTCTAGCACCACAGCAATGAGAAAAAAAATTGAAAAGATTTCTCTTCATACGGACGATGTCGCTGTCTCGCGGTACATTTTACGCTTAAAACTATTTTCCTCATAATTTAAACTGTTTTAAGAAGATGTCTCTGTAGCTTGTAGCCCGTTTCTTCAAAATGAGACCTCTCCAAGCCCTGTAGGCTTTTTGAAGACAAAGTTATGAGCAAAATAGTTTTAAGGGTAAAATGTACTGCGGGAAACTCGATGGAAAAATTCATCTTGGAAACGGCACCCAACACAAAGATTATGGTCTAACTAACTTTGTCTCGTACCAAAGTTCGGCCAGATTCGGGGGTTCTTCATGTCGAAAAACAGTCGTCTTTTTAAGCACTCTTTCAAGCTTGGTGCATCCCTAGTCAATTCACTTTAAGTGCCCGCGTCACTATCAATGTATATGACGCGTCGGGATGACGACGACACCATCTATGACAAGTAAGGATATCAATTTTGTAACAAAAAAATATGATGATGGTGCGATCAAGAATGAAGATCTTTGAAAATCCAAAATAGTTTTGTTGTTTTTTTTGACTTAAAATTAGTCCCTAAAATTCAAAATCATCTGCAAGCATTTATAGTGGTTGATATCTACAATCTTTTAATATCGATTCGACAATTTCAACTACTGTCCTTCGTTAGATATATGTACCTATATGGAGAACTAGTTTTAGCCAATGAGATATTCATCACTTCTCAATAGTTACAGATTTGAGTCGAGTTTTTTTTCATAACCTAGTTACATTATGGTCTTTATTTGTTGAAGCTCGGTGTTCATGTAGAACATAGTTTTCTGAGATAGGAGAAGGGGAGATGGAAAGAATTATTTCTCTGGACAAAATAAACAAACAAAATGAAAAAATATAAATCTGTATTTTTAACTTACCTGATTAGCAAATTATAAATTTTTTAAAACCCAAAACCAATATATGTCGAAAAACGTGAGCATCTAAAATAAAGTAACATTTAGTGTATCAGCTAGAAAACAAATTATACACCTAATCGAAACCATCTTAAAATTGGATAATGTTGATTAAATTAGAGTAAATTTAGTTCATAGTAAATATGAAATGACATTCTTGTTAGTGTATGTAATATAGTAGGATAAATAGCACTAAGCTAATACCAAACATGTTTTTCGTAGTATCTAGACTATAGATCTTTTTCATGAGATATCCGATTTTCCATTAACAACTCATTTGAAAGAAAACTAAAACAATATTGTACTTATTGGATGTAGTTTAGACACATTAACAGATAATTGCGATACCTGTTGTTTAGATGTTGGTTCACAACTGTCCATCAATATCATTTGTGGTGGTTGTAAACTTTTTGATGTTTGATCTTCTTTTTCAAGTCTTTCACGAAATTCATTTAAAGTCCGTATACCCTAGTTACATTCGCGCTTTATTCTTGCCGCGGTCATGCCGGGGCCGCGAAGTTTGCGCGTTATGATTTTTTTTCAGATTTCAAAAAAATCCGACCAAGAACTTGAACAAATCCTGGAAAATCAATCCAGAATCAAACTTGACATGATCCTTGACATTTATGATGCTGAAAGAACGGAAACTTTTATTGCATGGGTATCACATAGGTATCCGGTATCCAAACTTTTTAGTTTTCACAAGATTCATGCAGGGCCAAGTATGAAAGTCATACTAAGATATTACTTTAATTATTAATGATGATTAATTTATTTAAATAGCAGCACTTGTATTCAACAGCACAAGTGGTGTAACTGTTTCACTTCTTCTGTTTGTTGTAATGATAATGCCAATGTCCATTTGAATGGCGACTGGGCTTTAAAGGGTTAAATATTCATAACGTTTAATGAAGGCCATCGAATTTAAATTTTAAATTTTTTACTCTTCCTACAACTTATTTATGATTTATTAAATTATTTGTAACAGTTTCGATCTCGATAAAGTCTTTGTCAGACAAAATTGTAGTGTGACAAAACTATATCTTGTACATATAACCACCTATCATTCATTCCATATCCAGACAAGTCAAGAACAATATCGAATTAAAATGCCAAACATTTAAACACGAATACAAGCATATCGATTTGATCTCAGACTTTTCTTGACAATCTGTACAAGACTGATGTAAATTAGTCTGAAGTAGGCATTATTCAAGATATATTAGTTTAAACCTGTTAATTTTAAAAACGATTAATCGAATATGTGACACTCATCACGCGTTGTGTTCGATACGCACATATACTCTCGCGAAGATATATATATGTAGATATAAACGGAAGAAAAGTAATAGTAATAAACTAACATTGAAAAACAAAAGACACAGAACAATGGAACTATAGCATTAAGAAAATAGCAAGGGGAAAAATCCTAACTCATCATAGCAGAGTTGTAACCGGATCGGTTGAGTGAATTGGACCGGCCGGTTTTTACCGGAATTTGAACGACATTTCTCGGTGGCTGGACAAGTTGTTACAGAACAAAGACCTCAACTGGATCCGGAATGTGTAGAATCACTTGTTGTATTAAAAGAAGCTTACTTGAACAAGATATGGCCAATATCGAAATAATAACACTTATTTTGTACATATGTGTTTCATATAGCTTGTGAGTTGAATATGTAATAATATGATTTTTGATCTTACCATTCATTTGACTTTATTAGTTCTATGTATAGTATGCATAGAAGTATGCACGAGAAAATGTATGTATACATTATATACATACATTTTCTCGCGTAAATTTGAACGAAATAACAAAAGAAATGGAAATTAAATACCGACTTTTGTGGGAAAGAGCCTTATCCCATGCAGAAGAAACTCAATCTTGAAAATATTGGTTGGTTTTTTGGTATTAGAATTCCAGTATAAGCATTACAGAAAAGACAGGCGTAAAAATCTGTAGGTATTCAGAACAAAAGTTTGTCCCTAATATCAAAGTTATTACTTGAAAAAACTTGATGAACTCGCCGGTTTTTACCTGTCTGAAAATATTTTTAGACCGGCCGGTGACTGACCGGTTCGGACCGGTCTAGTATTTTCAGACCGGTTACAACTCTGCATCATAGTTCGAAACAAATATTTGCATCTTGTTTTAATTTAATATTTTTCCATTATTTAGGGAAGTTTCTTAATGTACCTTTGATCACCAAATTCTTCAGATACAAATGATCACCCAAAACACACACTTTTGATCATCAAATTTTCCAGCATGCATCTGGCATTTTGATTTCTCAACAAAGTATAATGTACAACCCAAACATATTCATTGAGATTTTAACCAAATGAACAATATTTTTACAGTTTTATTTATATTTATTTGCTAGCTGTGCTAACTTTCTTGGGATGCCCTTTTGCTTTTCGTTTGTCTAATGGTTGAATACGTGTTTCATTGCTAACTTGATATAAGTTAAATAAAATTGCTAATCCAACAGAATGTTTATACCAATCTATATATATAATGTTCAGTGTCTGTGTGTGTGTGTTTCTCTGTGCCGAGTCAAAGATCAAAGGCTAAACATTATTATCTATAAATCAGTTGTTGTTTACTTATCAGATAATACAGCTGTGTTGGATAAATTAACTAAAGTTTTCATACGCTTTCAGACATCGAAAAACGACTTCAAATACAACATCTTACGAAAAGCTGTCGTTGTTGAATTTGTAAAGCTCCTTGCTATCGTACATACATCTGAGATATAAAAGAGAAATGCTAACTGTATAGGTGTGCACATATACCATATGATACCATCGAGTGTATTCTATGGCGAACGTCTAGAAACTTATGGTTAGGAGAAGGTATTCACTGGTAACCGTAACACGACATCCCCGCGAACAGGAGTCCGACTCTGCCACGAATTTTTCGGTACACATTTGGGTATTTTTGGCAGTGTTCGCGGGCGTGGGGA